ACATGGAGCAGCATTAACTACACAGAGCCGTTGTTCACCGACAAGCTGCGCAAAACATGATCGTGGTTTGGTGCAGCTTGTCAGTGAACAACGGCTCTGTGTAGTAAATGCTGCTCATGTGAAAGCCCGCAGGTGATGGAGATTTACCGCTGATTACAGAACCGGCTTTACTGACAAGATGCGCGTTAAATATCGCATGCGATTTATCGTGCAGCCCTACACCAAATACACAAAATAATGTTCTTTTTAGCAGCATCATATGACCCCTTTAAATAGCATGATGCTACAGTGTGAATGAATGGTCACGAAACGCGCGTTTTCTTGGATGCCTCGCCAGAGTCAATCACCAGCACATGATTTAGGCACATCAAGCATGCTGCACGCTTACTGGCTCACTGACATTGACGAGATTAACCCCTTTAGGTATCGAAATTTGGTCCCGAGCGACAAGATATTTTTTGATACTCGATAGTACCGACACAGTTCGGTCGGTGCCTAAAAGTATTGAGCTCGATACCCAGCCCTAATTATAATGACTTTAATCTCGAGATGGTTTAATTTTTTTTTTATTGCTTGGCCCTAATCCTCTTCCGTAGTAATGTAATCTTGTTAAAATGGATTTCATAAAATTGGTATCGAAAAAAGTATCATTCAGGAACCGGTATTGAAGTCAAGGTATCAGTATCGATATTGAAAATTTTTGACCGATACCCAGTCCAAGTTATAGATGCATGTTATTACAAATACTCCCTGTCCAAAGCTTTTAATTGAATTTGATTTCTTTTCTGATTAGTGATCGGGAACAGCGAGAGCGAGAGAAGGCTCTCAGTGATTTTCGCACAGGCCAGTGTCCGGTGCTGGTGGCCACGTCTGTCGCTGCCAGAGGTCTGGACATTGAGCAGGTCCAGCATGTTGTGAATTTCGACCTGCCCAGCAGCATCGATGAATACGTCCATCGCATCGGAAGAACTGGACGCTGCGGGAACATCGGTCGGGCCGTGTCCTTTTTTATCCCAGAGTCTGACACTCCATTAGCTCGCTCTCTGGTCAAAGTTCTGTCAGGGGTTCGTACTTTTCATATTCCGTCCAAGGCACTTAACAGCAGTGTTTATTCTTTAATTATGCAATCTTATTTAATTGTGCACATTCATATTGTGCCTATAAAATTACTTTATATGAAGAACAGATTTAAATTAGGTTTTTATCCACATAAATATTGAGCAATGCAAAAACAGAGCACGTTAAATATGGTCAATGATCAAATGTGTGTGCTTGACATTCTACAAAAAACATTGGTTTACCATATTTTATGTGCTCACAAATAAAAATAATGGAATATTTTTAATGATAAATGTTGCAGATTCTGTGTGGGAATGTCCAGTACGCACAGATCTCAATAAAACTCCATTAACTTTCATCTCTCAGGCCCAACAGGAGGTTCCCAAATGGCTGGAGGAAATTGCTTTCAGTGCTCATGGGACAACAGGCTTCAACCCTCGTGGAAAAGTGTTTGCGTCTACAGACACTCGGAAGGTATGCATATCACTTCTCATGTGACTGCCTGAACCCCCTTTTTGAACTTAATTTGTAGTAATTTGATGCATGTCTCCCTGGCTTTTGTTTTTAGGGGGGATCCTTCAAGACGGATGAGCCAGCACAAGCATCTGCCCCAAGCCCAGCAGTGGCTGCAGATGACGAGGAATGGGAATAACCACTTAAACCTCATGTTCTATTATGTAGATTTATTTTTATATTTGTTTATTCATTTCTCCACATTGTTAAAATGTTGAATGATGAAGGTAGCATTGCGGTAAAGCAAAAAAAAAAAGTCACATTCTGAAAACTGTAGGTTGATCTGTAGGACAGAGTATTAATCAAGACATACCTTTTAGCAGTTTGGTTTGAATTAATGACCTGATTTTTGTCTCACTTGTTTTGATTTACAGGCACGTCTGGATTAGTGGATTTGTTTTGCGTTATCACATTAACACTTTGCTAAGAGCGTATTGAGCTTTGTGAGCCTTTATCTGAAGGTCTTTCCTACAGTTGTACCGTATCAGTCAGTTCTGTTGTTAAATGTGACAGTTTGCAGGTTGTTTTTCTTGACATTTTTGTCTTAAAGCCAAAGTATACAATTAAAGAAGCTTGTTTTGCTAATGTATCTTGCCAGCTGAAGGTAAATAAAGTGATTGTTTACCAGTCAACTTAGTATTAAAAATTTATTCTTGCTAAAATTTCACATTCAATATTTCTTGTGACTCGGCTGTATCATGGATCAGTGCTTCTCCACTCAGGGAAATGTCTAAAAATAAAGATGGAAACTGACATTTAATTTGTTTTCTCAAACAATGCAAGTTTGATTTAAAAGTGTTGATTTCTAGACCTTAAATGTGATCATTAACAGCAAACCGAAATGAAAATAAATTATTTTATTCATATATTGGACCTTCAATTTTATGTAAATAAGATTTGTCTTTACCAAAGAATCTTGAGCATGATCTGATATGTCAAGTATAGCTGCACTTTTAAGTTTGTTGTATTTGTTAATTGAGGCAATTCTATGGTATTGACAATTGATTTACAGCGATTCAGTGATGCACCTTTCCCTGAATAGGACGTTACAGCTATTCTCTTTAATGAGAGAATCTCAGTTTGGGGTTGACCATAGTGGAATCTACATGTTCACTTAAGCATTTTAAGAGAGCAATGACAGTAAGATCAGATTTCTCGCACCGTAACCCTTTAACCATAGAATCTGGTTAGTAGTGGCAAGTGTTAGTCCATTCCGCTATGTATGCATCAATACAGTTTTAATTTTAGGACTGCTATATAATACAGTTCCACTTCCCGGATTTGATTGGCTGAGTGGCGGTGTACTGAAATGAAGAGGCCAGAGTAATAGTAGACCTGTTTACATATCATCATTCAACACTGTAGGTGTTAATAATGGTCTCAGACACGAAGATGAGCTTTTCATTTCATCAAGCTGATCGCTAACGAAAGTCCAATCTTTTGTCATCTATGCCGGTTGCAAAAGACTGACACAAAACATTATCCATAACGCTCCGGTTACTAATGTAACCTCGGTTCCCTGAGATAAGGGAACAAATGTTGTGTCACTGCCTGTTTACAATGTTACTGAAGCCTGATTTGTTCACATTTGTGTAACTGCACAAACCAATAGCGCTCTAACCTGCCAAAAGGGGAGGAGCCAATCGCTACATAAGTCGGCTCAGAGCGTCATTTCATCAGAATCTTTCGACTGAAGAGACAGTCATTGATTTGTGTGCAGCTTATAGCACAGCAAGCCATGCAACGCTCATTCTGGACAGTATATCTGCCCCTAGGTTCAGTCTGTCCAACACAACCCCTTTAAGGCTGGCAGGAAGGTTTTCACGGCCAGGCAAACTGCCATCATCTTGAGGCAGTTGATATGCATGCATGACCAGGAGCTCCCCAACCCAAATTGGATGCTTCTGTTGTAACTACCCTCCTGAAAGTCAGTCCCAGCTGAATGCCTGATAGAAACAGTTGTCCAGGGGGCCACATCTCTGATGCAACGATGGGTTACCCTGATATAAGACCGGCCCAAGCGCCAGGCGTGGGATGGAACACGGGCTTTGAGCCAGTACTGGAGAGGCCGCATATAGAGCAGGCTTAGAGGAATCACAGAGGAGGCAGCCGACATAAGGCCTGAGGGGTCGTGAAGTCCCTAATTTGAATGACGCCACCATGAGCTTTGCTGTCCTGTACCAAAGTCCTCTGAAATGAGGCGGCCTGCGAACGAACTGGAGCGAGTAACCTTGTTTTATGAAATTTAGAACCCAGCTAGATACATCCGGGATGGCTTCCCACGCCTGGATCCGGATGGCAAGTGGTTCTATTTTTACGAACATTTTGAGTATCATGCTTCTTTTGAGTATCCTGGTCCGATATCACAGCGGTAATTTGCTTGGGTACGTGCTGAACTTGAAGGACGTGCCCAGCTAGAATAAAATCTCCAACGCTCAGAAATGGTCGGCGGGGTGGAGAATGAGCTTTCATCGAGGGAGTTCCGGCCTCTGCGAGAACTGACCCTCTCCTCTTGGCACTTCGGGTAGGGATACCGTCTTGCCATCCGGGGGGCGCTGCTGAAGCCCAGGCTCAGATTTTTGCTGGGGCTGAGGTGGCACCGGCTTTGCAGGCTGCTGAGTGGAAGGGGTCTTCTGGCGACTTGAAGCAGCTGCAGCACTGGAGCGCTTGGGCAAGAAGTGACGCAGAGCCTGTGACTTTTTCTGTGACTCAGTGAAGCGCTCAGCAAACCCGTCCATGGCAGGGCCGAATAGTCCCTTGGGCGAGACTGGTGAGTCGAGGAAGGTGATTTTCTCAGTGTCCCTGATCCCTGTAAGATTCAGCCAAAGGTGGCGCTCCAGCACCACTAAATTAGCCATGGCATTGCCAATTGCCTGCGCCGTTGTCTTGGCGGTGCGCAGAGCCAGGTCAATCGCCTTGTGCAGCTCCTTGGACCGGGCCGGACTCGTTCATGCTTCAGAGAAGTTTGGCCTGGAACACCTGGAGCACCGCCATCGTATGCAGCCATGAGCCAGCCTGGCCGGCCACTACATAAGCCCTGCTGGCCAAGGCCGATGTCATCCTGCAGGGCTTAGATGGGTGCACTGCAAGGGCTTTTAATCTAGGGGCCGATGGTGGGCAGCAAACGGGGGAGCTTGCTGTAACCTCTGTCTTCAGCAGCATCAACGGTGGTGAGAGCAGTAGAAGTGGAGGGATTAACACGGGCCAAATAGGGGGAGTTCTTCATGAACTGCAGGCAGGAACGGGGCGGGCCATTGACGGGAGGAACAGGAGGCCATGGGTGGGATCTTCTGGAGCTGACCAATCCAAGCCGAGATCCTCCACTGCCTTATGCCGAGTTCACACTGCACGATTTTAGCCCGATTTTTCACTCGCCGACAGGTTTTGCAAAATCGCCGACAAATGCCCGAAATCGGAGGCAAATCGGTGCTTGTTCACGCGAGTGACAATCACGCAGTGTGAATTA